TTGAATTTCTGTTACCCATTGTCAGTGTTCTGGAATTGTTTTCCAGTTACATAGTTGCTACTTGGAGTCATTTGCCTCAAAACAGACCCTGTAGGTAGTAAGAGTTCGTATAAGAAAGAAATAGTCCCAGAAGAGCACTTAAGTGCTTTTGGTTTTCCCCTTTCTGTTCTTTCTGGGGAAGCAGAGGGGCTCTCCGTTGTATCACAGAGTGACTCTTTCCTTTCTCATAAGCCCTGCATATGCCACAGAAGGAAACAAGAATTGCCCTAATTACTCATCCTTTGGGCCTTGGAAGAATTGAATATTTTGCTATAAACATCAATATTTGAGGGAGTAAAAAAAAAAAAAAGCTTTTGTGTTCCTTCTGGTTTTTTTTCCTATGTTTTTTTCCCTTTACCTATTTCAAACATTCAGGCTTCATCTCAGTCATACCAGTTATAGCTCTTTGGGGAATGCTGTGAATTTGCTCCCTGCTGAAGAAATCTCCAGAGTGTCTTCATCTTAAATAAAGACTAGAATTTTGCAGCTGATTGAACATGAGGGAAAGTTCATATTAATTAGCTATAATTTTCCCAAACTAATTTCACAGAAAATGATCTTAAACTTACACAGTAATATGCATCTATTTGAATCTCCATGGAGTTGTTAGACTGATAAATATTTTAGAAGGAAGATCTTGAAAGGAGTTTAACATCAATACTAACACCTTGCTTGCTTGCATAATAAATATAGCAGTAAATCCCAAGATATACCTGTGAGTTAGACTGAGCAGATTCTTTACACAGATTTTAGAGAAAAGGAATGCTGAGCTTTGAAGTATTCGGTGTGCCCTTCATTCTGCTCCAGGTGAAGTGCATGAATCTGACCGCGCTGCTAGTGTGATTGGGAGAGGCAGATTAAGCCTGGCAGCCCTGCTCAGGGAAGAGAAATGGCATGCGTGAACTGAGCAAGGACATGGGAGAAGGTCTGTCCTCTGCCTGTCTGTTCGGATACTGTGAGCCACTTATGCAGTAGTGGAAGAAAGAGATCACTTCTAATGCTGGGGATGATAGAGTTTATCTTAGTAGATGGGCAAATAATGCAATTGCACAAACTGCTAAGGTTAGCAGTAACGTAGCTGAGATACTCTCGTGTCTGGCCTGAACAGTGGGAAAGCGAGAGTCGCAGAGGGAGCGCAAAGCCACCAGGGAAGTACCAGGGCTGTTGTTGTTAACGCTTGTTGCTGTATCGGCCATGAGCAAAGCTGCTGGCTGGTTTGGAGTTTGTTTCAGGATATGTCTGCTTACCAGCTGCTATGAGGGGCCTACGTGTTTAGTCTGACCTTGGATTGCAGTTAACTTAATGTAGAGTGTACCTGTTTTATCAAAGGCCCTTCCTTGCTCCAGGTTCTTTCTGATACTTTTTTTTTTCCCTCTCTCTCTCTTTTTTTTTTTTTTTTTTTGAAATCCCATGCTATTTCCTACTCTCCTTGCTGGCTGCCAGGCTGAGAGAAGCAGCCGTGTGAAGGAGCCGTGCTGATGTGGAGCTCTGCCGTCTCTCTGCCATAGCTTGTAACGCCTCTTGGTTGCTTGATTTCTCTCCTTTTCTTCGTTCCAGATTATTGGGAATCATCAGAGAGATATTTGCCTTCTCTCTCCCACTGCCCCTGAAGGGTTATTGTAGTTTCAGTGAGAAGTATAAAAGCCGCTGTACATGTGTGTATGTCTAGTTTCTCTTCTGATTGTTACATTAAAGAACATTGGAAGAAATGGCTGTAAATGACTAAGAATTGTAATTACCTCCCAGTTTACTGTGCTTCTAGTACTAAATCTGTCTCTATATCTCTGTAAATTGACCAATTACTAAAAGTATTGTCTTTACCCAGGAGATGGGGTGATAAAGCTCCAGAACAGAGGCATAATGTTAGGGGATGGGTGTTTTCCTATTTATATGCAAGAGCACAAAAAACCCAGACATTTAAGATAATCAGAGGATACATGCTGTCATGTCTTCCTCTTTCTCTTTTTGACCCATATTTTTGGCTTACCTTTCCTCTGCCACTAGGTCAATCACATGGTTTGAAACCTGGCAACACTGCAGGTTTTTTTGGATATTACTCTTTTTTCCAGCAGAGGCTACCCCTGAACTGAAACAACAGGCTTGTGTGTCGGGGTGGCTGCGGCCGAATCCCTTGCGTCCAGCTTTGTCCTCATTGCCTTTGTTATGAGCTAACCGATGAATTGGGCAGGGGGATGAGGGAGAAAGAAATCCCTGGGTCACTGCAGTTATCCCTACGTCCTGCAGCATGAATTTGGCTCTCTGACTCTCACAAAATACATGTGTTCCCTGGGAACTGTTCTGCTCCTTGTTAGGGCTCTGCTGGTACCAGGGGTAAAACCTTCCCTTCCCGTGCTCTGGGCCTGGTTTGTCCTGGTGGTCTGGATGCACGTTTCTCCTGTGATTACTCATGGTTTTGGCTAGGGGAATGAGTAATGTCATCATCCCAGTTGGCTGGGGAAGAAACCTAGGTCTGATAATGCAGCTTTTGACACCTGATCAAATAAATTGGCTGAGAACAACTGAGACGCTGCCCGCTGGCCAAGGGCTGCGGGAGCTGGGTCTATTTTAAGCAGAGCCACAGAGTAGTTAGCATTCTGAGGGCACGCTGTAACTAGCAGCAACTCAAGTGATCTTTTCTAGGGAAAGTGGTTTCGGGTGTCTGAAGCAGCTACATATGTTAGCTTTTATTGCATGTAAAATGATAATGAAAAGATAAACTGAGGTTGTAAAATTACGGCAGGTTATAGTGATCCTTTTTTTGTATGTTCATGTTAGACAGTAACCCCTTATCATATTAATCTTCCTCTGAAGCTACAGCAAATGGGTCTGATGTTCATGCCATATCAGCTGCTAGTATCATGCCTGCTGTAAGAGGCTAGCAAACTGGCACTAATTGGTGCCAGTTTTCCAGACACCCTTTTGCTTCTTTTCAGCTTTAGCAGGATTTTTTGTGCATACGTTGATGCTTTTAGTTAATGCTGCGCAGGTTGGGGGGGGGGGGGAGAGCAAAAAACAAAACCCAAGAAAACCCACCCATATAGTTTTATCTTTTTTTCTGAAGGATATAGAGTCTTGTGGGTTTTACAGTGTGCTACCCAAGATCTGAGCAAAGAGACTGACTTTACTAATGAACGTGCACAGGACCAACTGATTATTCTAGTGCTAATTAGACCTCTGCTTTCTCATATGCAAATTGCAGGGTCAAATTGGGTGACTCAGCTGTCTGAACCTCTGATTTGCACGGGCAATCCAGATTTAAGCAGCTGAATGACAACACCTGCGGCTGCAGATAACCCTGGCAGTAGGAGGGAATCATTGGATAGAAATGATGAGCATGCACAAAAAATATCTGCCATAATCAACATGCAAAGGTGTCCAAAGCTGAAGAGAGTGATATAGTTTGCAACCTCGGTCCACTTTTTCGTTTCTTAAAATGGTTACAGCAGGACAGCAGAAAGACATAAAGAAAACCAACCCAACCCCAGGCAGCACGGAAGGAAATAATTAGGACTGGAGTTAGTTATCATACAACAGTAATTATGGAACAGGGATTTGGGCTGATGTTCTCTCTGGAGGCCAAACTGTGGCATCTCAAGGACAGATGTATACCCCTTTTATAAATCATGCAAGAAGCTGTTCCATGTCTGTCCCCAGGTGTTTTGATGGAGAGGCTGGCTTTTAAATGCTTTGATTTTTTGACTCTATGGAAACAAACATCGTTAATATATCTATAGGTGGGAAGCCATTGTTGCAGTCATCTTTTGGCACATACTGTCTCTGATGTTCAGAGCACACAATATTTGTCTGTTGATGAACTTTGCTGTTAAGAATATGTTGAAGACAAACAAAGAAAAATCCTTGCCATAGTTGTTCAAAAATCAAGCTCCTGGTAGTTCCAGGAAGCAATTTGTTTGTTTAGTAGCTAGAGAAAGGTATTTATGGAATTTAAACCAGTTAGCGTTTACCAGTGAACTTCTAGTCAGCAGATATGCAAACAAAGAAGCAATGATGGTGTAAGTAGGCCTTAGCTTAAATCTCACAGGTAAAGGCAGGAAGAGCAGAGAAGGTGTGGATGGCATGAACTTCAGTGCAGGTGCTCCAAGACCGTAGTCTAGTCTCTAATCCCTGCAGTCAGGAAGACACAGGCATAGGAGAAATGGCAGCTCTAAAAGGGGTGGAGGACAGGACAGAAAGAAAGAGGATACTTTTTGCAGGAGCATAGAAAGGAATGGATCTGTGGGTCTTGGATGTGGCAGTGGATGCTCTGTCCCTTTGAAAGAGGGAAGAAAATGACAGGAGTAATCAGCCCTGGGAAGGAAAAGGGAGAGAGAGAGAAAGAGAGAGACCCTTGCTAGCCCAGGAGTATTCTGCTTTCTCCCAAAGGCATTGTGTGCTCCCTGGGGCCTTCCCAGGCCTCCCACCGCTCCCTGTCGGAGCATCCTCGAGGCAGGAAAACTCACTTGTGCTGCCAGGCAGGGAAGCCTTGAGCAGCTGTGACTGGGCAACCCAGTGCTGCTGCCCCAATTCCTACCAACCTTCCCGGGCCTGAGCGCCTGCCAGGGAGAGCCATTTGCTATCTGCTCCTGCTGCCTTTGCTCTCAATGCAGAAATGGCAATTCGTCTCCTCTTGCCTTCAGGCATGCTGTTCAGCAAAGGGTTGACGAGTAATGCATACCGAATCAGCCGTTCTTCCTGGGACGGTGCTGCATGCCGCTGCCTGGGAAAGGCTGCATGTGGTTTTGGTGCTTATATAAGCTGCTAGCAAGTTATTGCCTGTCCTTGCATCCAAGAGTGAGAATGGCTGTTTGGTGTGACACTTAAGCAGGGAGTAAGACTCTGCTTTACCCTTATGCATATAACTTTGAACTTTGGAACAGTAATAATCAACCTCTATTTCAGCAAAATATTTGAAAATTCCAGGGATCGTCTCTGTTCTGCTAACTCTATCTGTTACGTTGCAGGTATCGTTCAGGTTACGTGTGCTATGTTCCAGTCAAGACGAAAGCAGAAGTGCACCTCGGACCTAAATAAGGTAAGTCATCACTGTTCAGATCTACTTGCAAAACCACAGACCTATTTTACTGTTGAACCTTTGACTTACAAATCAAATCTCTCAAATAACCAACTGCTCAATTAATTTTGTATACTTTTTAGGGGGGTAATGTTTTGGGTAAATTGTCTTTTTTGGTCCTTAAAATAATATGGAATGTCAGTTTAAAAAAAAAAGTAGAAGGAACAAAAAAAAAGGATGTTCAGTCATTCTGATAGTGAACTTCTTGCACAAATAGCCTTTCAAAGTTTGCCAGGCAGAACTTGAGGTAAAAATGTGAAGTTCAGGCCTGGATTATAAGAATATTTATATATGCATATGCTTCAGCTGTGCCTATGGTCCTGTTAAAGTGAACTAAAACTGTTCCTGAAAGTAAGTTACATCTCTGAATATTTTGGTCCATGCTCCTGAAGGGCTGAAATGCTTTTTGCGTTAGCAGAACGACTGGCTGGAAGGGCAGGGTGAGGCTCATTTGTAGCCAGGTTTTCGACTGGCTATTCCAAACAAATTTTCAGGCAGCAAGAGAGGTTTGTATAGTATCTATGGGAGTGGCATCAACATCTCAGCATAGTTTTTCATTTTCTAAGGAATTCTAGACTGAATTCATAAGGGTATTGTTGCGTAATAGCATTTATATTAAATAACACTTGTGAGGTTTTATAATATTCTGTTCTGTCTATGTCAAAAGTGAAGCAAGTTAGTCAACTGAAATAAGACTTAAACTGTAAGTTTAGTTCAGCCTGATGATAAATCAGTGAAGCTTTTATGCAGATAGGCTATTACTGCAGTTGTTAGTCTTGAATTTTTCTCATGTTTTAATTTATTTTTAACTCTCTTAACTTTTATTCATTTCATGGAAAGTGTTAAAATGTCTACTAGATAGAAATCACTGAAAATTATCAACAGGAAGATTTGAGATTAGTGCTGGTTTTGAGAGGTTTAGAAGATTTAGCTGGGAGATTGTTATACCTGGAGGCACTGCAGGATGGAATTGTCTTGCCTCAGTACTCTCAAAGATTAAAGAAGGAAATCCCAGCACTTTAGAATATTTGCTATCTTCATATGTTGGTAATCGCCTGTGAGCGTATAATAGGAGATAGGTCTGAACCAGAACCTCACATTCAAACTTTGAGAAAGTTTGGATACAGGTCCAAATTTCATTCCTGTTTCAGCTGCACATAAGGGCAGTGAAAGCCGTAGTGGCTTAGTGGTTTTCAGCTTTATACAGCATGCAGAAGACTTTCAAGAGGCTGTTAGAGCAGTTGTAGAGGTGAAAAATCTGTATGCCATTTGAAATATATTGAAGTGACTTTTTTAATTTTTTTTTTAATTTTTTTACTTTTCCATATATATTTATGTGACTGGAGAAAAATCATTCATTTTCTTCATTTATGAAATAGGAAGATTTTTCTTAAGGTTTAAGGTTCCTTACTAACTTGAGGGAAAGGAAATGTAACGTATGCGGTGGTCAGCTAGGAGAACGTGTGCTATCAAAGTACTTTTCTTCTCAAAGCATAATTTTCTTCTTTTGGACTGTTTGCTTGTTTAATTATCTTTTAAACTAAAATAAACCTTTATTAGGATTTCATGCAGTCATTGCTCAATCACAGCAAGAGACCATACGGGATGTGTCTCATGCTGATTCAGTATGTTGCCATATCATGGATGCCGTTATTGCTGTGCTTGACTTTTCAGCCTTGTCCCTGCCAACACACCTGAGACATGGTGCCGTTCCAGCACAGCATATTGTCTGTTTTGTCACCTTGTACTGCTTAGGTGAATTTAGAACTTTTTAGGATCTCCCACAGGGTTCACTGGTGCCTTTTACTCTGAGGTCGTTCTGCGTTGCATTCTGACTTTCTCGTGGCACAGATTTGTGGAGATTTTTTCTAAAGAGAATTAGACTCATCGAATCAGATTGTTGCAAGTGTGTTTGTTCCTCAAAATGCTGAGCCTTGCCTTTTGAGACTTGGGGCTTGAGGGTACAAGTCACTGTTCTCAGGTAGTAGTGTAGGTCATACGGAAACTCTTCATGAGCATAACATTGACATGGAAACATAGCAGTTGTAAAGAAAGTGAGACCTGACAGAATTCCCAAAGCAGTCCAGTACTTTTCTTTTTTTTTTTTTTTTTGAGTTTACTGTTTTGAATGTGGAAAAAACCTGGTCTTTAACCTTGGAATTGTGTTCTCGCTGTGAATTACACAGCTCTTCACTATCCTCTCTCGCCTTGCTCAAATACTGATTGTACTAAATCTTTTCAGAAGAATTTCCTGTCCGGTGAAAGATGTGTAAAGAAGAATTTTACCTATATTACACCCTAATGGAGGGAGGAAAAGAGAAAGCGTATGTCACAGGCAAGACAAAACCGCTAAATATTTTAAAAGCCCTAGTGCCGTATGTAAAGGTGTGGTTACAGGGACTGTTCAAGGAATAGCTACTTGGTTAAAGTAAAAGAACAGGTAGGTAAAAAAAGAGTCTGCAGTTTTTGACAGTGCACATGTAAGGCCATAGTTTGTGTAAATTTTCTTGTGTGCTCTTTCCATTCGATTGCAGATGTTGAATTAAGCTGGTATGTAAACAGTAGAATAAAGAATCAGCAAAAATTACTGTGGTATTTAATGATATGTATTGACACGCAGGAAAGTTTCAAGACTAGTCTTCGCTTCTTTTAAAAAATAAAATGAAATAAATTTGTTGGATTAACAGCAAGAAGGAGAAGCAAAAGAAGAAACCTTAGATGGGGGGAAAAATCATTTGATTGTGATGGTCATTTTATATTTTCTGTCGCTGTGGGAGGTGCTAGCGTGAGTGCTTTTTATATTGATGTCTTGTTGCATATGTTCAGCAAACTGAAGAGTGTGCATCTCTGTCCATCTTTCAAGCTGCAGTGTGTATTGATTTAAGTGAGGTGCATGAATCCCAAACAGTAGACTAGGGAGCAGCTGCTCTTATCGGAGGAGAAAGTGGGAGAAGTTGGAAGAGAGCAAATGAATAGTGGAGTGGAAAAAAAATCATATGCACTTTTTTAACAGTTCAGCCATGGCCCTCTCAAGGCCCTGGATGTTTTCTGAACAGCAAGGAAATGAGGGACTGACTGACAGAAACTGAGATCTTCTCAGAAAGACTACTTTCCTGGAGTATAAAAAGTAGCATGTTATTGGGCCGTTTTTAGATCCATTGAATTTTCGAAGCAATTACCATCTCTTCCCGTAACAAGTATTTTAAATGTTTTGAGCCAAACATTTTCCATCCTAATCTTGCTAATGTTGCTGCCCTTCTGGGAAACAAAATGGAAAGATAGCAGCTATGTTCCAGCTTTTTGTCACCCTGAGCTTGAGCTGAAGCTCAGTAAAAGCTAAAGCCCAGTAAAGTCAGCCCTCAGTTGATCTGGGGGTGGGGGACCACAGCCTGGCTGCGTTTCATTTCTAACCTCAATGATGTGAGTGTTTAGGAGTTAGCTTCCGAGGTAGATCTGATTGATTTATTTATTCTTATACCAATGTCAAGGAAAACTCTGGCACTGGACAAATACCAGCTCTGAATTCCCTGCGCACTTCCATGCTAATGGATGAATATTGTGGGGCAGAAGAAGGGAAAAGATCGTTACAATTCAAAACACATTGCATTTTTATTCACAATTACCGTAAGAGTATGAAATTACTGAATCCGTCTGAATATATACACTCTGTGAGTGACAGCCACTCATTTGAAATTACAGTGCTATACAGGATAGCACTGAAACAGGTTTTAAACCTTCAGTATGGCTGTAGAGCTTCTCACACAGGGCTTCGACCTGTTGTAACTGCGAATGGCTAAGTTTGGCCAGCTTCTGAACAGCTGGGTTCCTCTACCGTAAAGCAATAACTTTAAAATAATAGCCCCAAATACTGCAGAAGTTGCATGGTAGGCAACCAGTCAAAAACATAGAAGCACAGTGTGAATATTTCTATGAACAAATGTGCATATTCACTTTGTATTAATGACCTTTCTGCAGACGGTGCTGCTGCAGGCACGTGTTAAAGCCCAAGGGCCAAAGTAATAGCAGGATCTGTTGTATTGAACTGTGGGCAGGGAACTGAGCTTCTCTGGACCAGGGCTCTTTCCACACTGATCAGTGAAAATATTAACTTCCTATTGTGAGAAGAATTCATGCAAAATCTTAAATAACATTTCTTCTTTAATCCCAACAATATCTGTCTGTATGTGAATAGTAGGAGTAACTGGACACTAGCTGGGTTCAGACACACCGTTGGTATCTCAGTGCTGTTGTATATCTTCGTAATATTTAATAAAAACTTACCTATGCAGTCTGATGAGTAACTTTTGGGTGTATTAATAGCCAAGAGACTCTCAACACTATTGAACTTCTCTATATTCATGGGCTTGATTTAATTAAGAATCTGAAACTAGACTTGCTCATGTACCTGTTTGCATAAGGAAGCCTATTAAGGGATCTTTTTATTGTGTTCATACATTATCACTAAGTAATAAGTACCTGCATGATAAGAAGGAGTCACTTGTCTACCAATGACTCTGCACTAGAAATCTTTACTGAATCGCTTCTAGATTAAATCCTGCTTGTAAAGTCCCTTCCCTCCATGGGACTGAGAAAAATCAATGAGATGTTTAATGAACTTGGAAAATTCTATAGTGAAATTCATACTTACTGGCAAATCCTTACATTTGTCTCGGGGATTTCCCACTCTTGTGCTACTTCTTTTCTTTTGCTGTTTCGTAACTCTTTACCTGTCTCCTCTCTTTCAAGTCTGGGTGAACTCCCAGCTCTCTTTTTATTTAAAAACAAAAAAAATTTTTTTTTGAATTATTTCTGTAAGGTTGATATTCTTTCCTTTAATAGGACCATAAAACTACACCCACGAGACTGAATAATCCTTCTGCTTTCGTCTCTAAAGCTATTAGAAAAATACAGTTAGACGATAGACTTATATTACCATGTCTAAGTTGAGGCTATTTCGAGCA